GAGGAATGTAAAAGTTGTGATCCTCCAAGGTACTTTCTTAAAACAAAGCAGATTGTTTTGCCTCCATAAAAAAAAAAAAAAGTGCGGGAGGGCACATACAGGAGGAAGCTAAACTTGGAAGTTGCCTCCCTCCCTAATGACTGGTTGGGATCTGCTTGACATTAAAAATGCTGAAGCTGTTGAGAGGTTACTCCTTTCAAAAGGAAATCACTGGAAACACCCTAATAAAAGCAGGATATGTATTTTCAAAAGTAAAAATCAAGGATGTTGAGTTCTGGGATGCAAATTTTACTTTGATCATCAAGCCATGCTTCACTCTCTCCCCATCAACAAAATGGAGTGGGAGAAATGACAAGATCCCAACAGGCCGTAATTTATGATATTTCAGACACGGAGATGAACATGTTTCCAAGGCACATCTTTGCTACCATTTAAGCAGCAGCTAATGAAGAAACTGAACATTCTTGTGAAGGTAGATTCTATAAATCAAACTAGGTTTAACTATAAATCTAGTTAAAACATGATGTTGCCCGCAGCTTAAGCTGATGGTACTAACATGCCATTTTATGGTGCAGTTGCCTTAGCCCAATTCCCCTATAATATTTTGCTAACAAGTTTTAGCAGTAAAATCCAGCAGCACACTTCAAGTTTCACACAAAACACTGAGAGAAAAATACCGTTGTTTGATATTCTGCAACATTTAGGCCTTTACAATAGTAAACATTTCTGATGAAATATTTTAAAAACAAAAAGGTACTTTATAAACCCAGAATAGCAGAGCATTTGCCACTCTCCAGTAAGAAAAAAACTGTGTTAGAGCAGTAGAAAACAAAATGAAGCTTACCATTCACATGTAAGGCAATCTGGCAATACACTGGTCCTTAGGTGAATTCTGTTTGTTTTGCAGTGTCAAGAATGGGCTTCACTGAAGAATTCCATCTGAACTATTCTATTACCTTAGAGGTTATGCTACCAGTTGCTGGCATACTTCTCTGCTACAATTTCTCGAGACAGTGCAGGCTGCCAAGTAGAGCAAAGGACTTCTGAATGAAGTCCTATTTTCCCTGCTTCCATAAAGGATTTCTGGTAAACTAGTCAGTGCACCCCAAATCTTCAGATTATCATTTACCTCTGACTTGGCCTTATTCCTTGCAAGCTGCATATTGCTTACAATTTGAAGGGGTGACGATTTTTTGCCCAAAAGTCTTTGGCTTCACTGCAGGGTCTATTCTCGCTTTCACTTCTGTGCTCCTACCACAACCTGGATAGGTGTAAATTTTACACCACAGTACGACAGGCAAGCATACCAACTCTGGCGATAAATGGTCCCAATAGGCCTAGGACATTTTTCCTCCCAGCTTTGTTAGAAGGCTGAGCCCCATCTATAGGTTTTAACTCAGCAAGAGCTTTGTTTTGTTTATTTGGAAAACTGAATGGCTCCCTCCACCAGCTATACTTCAGAGAAAACTGGAAGCATAACTTCTCATAGTTGCTCTCCTAAGGAAGAGGAAATCCCAGGAGACTTACTCAGAGTAGACAAGTTCTGGTCAGATGGAGAGTAATGCTGTCCCACTCTTGCCAAATGTTCTGTTTTCCCTGGTCTTGTTTCTTGAGACAAAGGCGACTCTGCAGAATTAGCTTGGGAGGAACCCCATCAGTGTTCCACAGAAACAGAGGTATTTCTCACAACCTTCAGCTTCATTCAAAAACAGATGTGACGCAGGCCATCTGCGTGAGCATTACACACAGGCTTTGTCCTATTTAAATACTTCTAGAATATGAATTGGCTCATTTTCAAGTAGTAGTAGCCCGCAAGCTAAGGCTGGTGTTGCTGGCCTATCAACACTGTACCTCAATGAATCAACCCATGAACTGTACCTTCCAGCTATCAGCATCGCCTGTATCTCTGAAGCTGATATTCACAGGCCACATTGTAATGCTTTGGCCCCGAGTGCCAGACCTGGGTGCACCCTTGCTCCTTTCTATACCTAAGGGAAGGAGTGCTGCATGACCTCAGTTATAGTGCATATTTTAACCTGATTTCCCCACAGCCACCCAGTTGGATCCAGCAAAAATTAGGGAGCTTTGATTAGTAGCCTAAAGCGATTGGTTTTTGCATAAAAATAGCTATGATACAAACTGTTTCACTCATACTTTCTCCCCATGATGCAATGAGCCCAGGTTAAGGACTGGGCTGACTGTCCTGTTAGATCAAGCAAGCTAACGCCACCTGCATATATTCAAGATCATGGTCGGAAGGTTTTGGCTTGCAGATATACTTCTGGGTAAAGAGGCCTGTATTATTTAAATCCCTGTGCCAGCAGGACAGAATACAAAGCTGTTTGTTTTGAGGATTGCAGTTCTTCCTCCCCTTCCTCCCAGTGAGGTTACAAACAAGAAGGAACAATCCTGTCAACGTGAAGGGGAGATAAAGTACATAAATTCAAATGACTTTAAGCAGTATTTTCCAGTCCTTCCTCCTATACCCGCAGCAGTGAATTTTCATAGTGACCTAATGTTTAAATTAAATTGGGGGAGGAGCAGGAAGAAAGGGAAATTACTTACCACTGCAGAATACCTCACAATTTGGAAACACTAATGTTCCCAAATTGTGACCCTCATTATTTTAAAGTGGAGAGCTCCCCAGTAGGCCTCAATCCACTAGGAATCCTTCTTGGGTTAGCCCCCTGAAATAAAAGAGAGCTTTCTGAAAACGAGAGAGAGAGAAGTGCTTCAATACAACTTTCATTCTTTTCTGTAATGCCTGCGTGGGAGAACTTCCAAGGGGATTGAGCACCTAAGTCTCCACCATTCCCTGAAAATTCATATATTTACAACTTCTATTTATTGTTTGTAAAGTTTAAAAAAAATGAAAAGAAGATTTTTACAGTGACATTTGGGATTAAAATTCTCTTTTGTCCTGCCAATTGCAGGGTCTCAGGATGAAAAAACAAGTGTTCTTCTTTCAAGTTGATTGCAATAAAATCAGTTATAAAATGCTGAAAGATTGAACTGTCACAGGTTGCATACTCCAAGTCTTCTATTGCATTTCTGCCACACTAGCTTTTTGGTGATCCAATATCCACTGTGATTTTTGTATATAATCGAAATTTATCAGTTTTTACTACGGTGTAAGTCAGAGAGTTTAGCCCATCTGATTTCATTGTTTCCTTTGTATGAGCAATTTTGTTAAACCTGTAAAAATAAGACAGACTCATGGTTGGTAAATATCAACTTGTAATTAGTATCTCTGTTGGCTTTCTGCAGATTAATGTTGGTTAACTGTTTTTCATAAAACTGTATTTTGTATTTTATTTGCCTCTTGCATATATATTTTCACTCATTGTTTCCCAGAAGAACAACGTTAAAACATTCTATACTGAAAAGTTAAAAACTTAATGGCAAAAGGACTGTGCTGATAGAACAGCATGATTGACTGATAGCATCTTTTGCTATATGTAGTAGTCTAAATATAGGAGCATGTTTCTGCGTTTGATAGGCCTTTTGATTATGAAAAATTAGCACTCAGCTGAAAAGGCCAACAACAAATTATTTTAATTTTGAGCCCAAAAGTCATGCCCAGATTTGATTTGTGATAGAGGGCAGTCTATTGTTAATCTCTAAAATCTCTTGTTAATCTCTAAAAATAAAAGAGATCTATTTTATTAAATATAAAAAATGTTCTTGAGGAAGCGGAGGAAAGTTCTTGCCTTATTGCTTGTACTTCTACACTTCTATCACTTCAGTTTTCAGCCCATCAGTGATGCTGCATTAGGAATGGGTATGCCTGAAGGCAGAGTTTGCAGAAGCAAAAGTGAAGGCATCGGCACCCACTTTTGTTACAATTAAAACCTCCCTTCCACAACTATCATAAATGTGAATAGGAGTTGAAAATATGAACAAGCTAGAAACTGTTAAAGAACAGATATTAACTATTGGTCTTCAGAAAACAGGAACGTGGCTTCGGCTCTCCTCGGAAAGAGTGTGGACCCAAGAGTTCTGTTTCAGGCCTGCTTCAAATTTAACTTCATATATACTAACTAAAGAGAAGAACTTTTACTTCCGAATGCTTTAGCCTTACCCATGGTAATTTGGTAGCATCCCTACTGATGGGAATGCTTGCTCACACATACTAGATTAGTAGAACTAGCAGGTACTACTTTGGTATCCATTTTAAAAGATATTTTGATCAACCAATATAACTCCTTTTGCACTTACTAATGCATGGACATTACCAGCAAGGTGTAACCCAAGCCATTGTGGTGTATAGGTAGTCCTCATTTAGTCACCACAATTGGGACCGGCAACTCAGTCATTAAGCAAAGCGATCACTAAGTGAAACTGCGACTGTGTTTACAATCTTACTTCAGCTTTCCTTTGCTTTACAGACCTGCTAAGGTCATAAATGCGAGGACTGGTCACACAGTTACTTTTTTATCACTGTTGTAACTCCAAACAGTCGCTAAATGGGGCAGTTGCTAAATGAGGACTACCTGTAGTGATGATGCTGTTGGACTGGCACTGGGAGACCCAGGTTCTAGTCTACTCTCAGCCACAGAACTCTCTGGATAACTTTGAACCAGTCCAAACTACTTCACAAGGTTGTTGGGGGAAATGGGAGGAGGGACTACTATGTATGTTGCCTTGAATTCCTGAATAAAAGGTGGGATGTAAATATAACAAGCAAAATGTTGCTAAGCCTTGTTTCCTAGTTATGAATATGTAACAGAGGCTGCTCAAAACACAAAGAGGGTCTGCATTCCTTGTCTTCTAAAATGGCTTTACTGAACCTCATCCCAGGGTTTTTTTTATAGGCCTGAAGCACTTTAAATAAATAAGAGGCAGACTAGTATTTTAAAGGATGCCTTTATATATGAATAAAAATAAGATTATTTCATGATCAAATATTTATTTCCAGAGGGGCAGAAGAAAGTTAATAATGGCTACTTGGATTTGGGTGGGCAGAAGCAGAATGAAGGGCCTACCTCTGTGGATTGGGCTCATTTTTAGTGTCTCTTACGTGGCGAATCATTCGACATTTTCCAATTGCAGCATCTGGGCGGGAAATCCCCATGCCTTTAAAGACCAATCTGCAAAGGCAAATAAAGGGTGAGGTTTCTATTACATAACACACCTTCTCCGTTTCTCTCTTAAGGAGGCATAGTCTAGAGATCTCCGTAAGCCACAAAAAGACGATAATCCTTATTTCAGAAATGCATGTGACATCCCTTTAAACTAGGTTATTCATTAACTCAACCCATGCTTTGTATTTTATTCCACATTAGGAAAAAAAAAGACTAAAACAGGAACATCAGTATCAAGGAACCTCTCCCCCCATTAATTAATATGATTTAAGGCTGCAGTAATGAACTGAAACATAGTTTCCAAGTCATAAATCATTATAACTCTGTTTTAATCCACTGTTCATCCATGGATACAATGCCACGCTTAAGAAGGATATAGAAAACTGCAGGATCATCCATTAGGCAGGGTGAAGTGATCTGTTTAGATGGTAACAGCAGAAGATGGTGAATAATGGGCAGATCTCATGGACCCCTTTGAAGCTGTACAGCCTACCCACAAGATGTCCTGCCTGCCAGAGAAAGGTGGCCCCTTGACTCCCAGCCTCTCTAAGCCTGGCCTCCTTGCCATCCAGCTACTGTAGGAAAGGTGGCACAAAAATGTTTATATAAGAAAATAAATGTGCATCTGAAAAAGTAGGAACAAAAATCTTTTCAGCTTAGCAACAAAGAATGTGAGGGTCGAAAAACAAGTTTCAGAGTTGTAAATGAGAAACAGGAAGTGCTGCTGATCTTGTGGCTACACTACTCTTCTCTCAGCATTGTTGCTTTGTACTGTTTACTGGCCTCTTCTTGAAAAAAAAAAAGTAAAATTTGGTAAGAATATTTTTGAGCCTCCTGAGAGTCCTTTTCCCTCTCAATTGTGAAACAGAATTTATTTAGAGTTAAAGGGCAGGACGCCCAGCAGAGCCCAGAAAAGGATTCCCGTATAGAGCAGAGCCTGGTATTTCTCATTCCCTTGATAGTATTCTAGGAACACCACCTAAAACCCCTTGTGACTGCTAAATGCTAAGCATATTTTCCTCCTGTTTGCCAGACTTAACACCTCTTGACACAAAACACTTCCTGCCCATTCAAAACACAATGTGCACCTAGTAGTATGTGCCATGGAAATGAGTGTTCAGAGCGCCTGAGTAGAAACACTTTCTGCTTTGTTGCTGGAGGCTTGACCCAACAGCAGGCAGGCAGCCTGTCACTTGGTATAAATCAACGGAGCGGTGCTAAGAGACAAGGAGAGCAGTGACCCTTGTACAACACGGAGCATCAAGCTCTGTCCCTGGATCACCTGCCTTCGGCAAAGAACAAGAAAAGAAACTGAACATGGGCGACGTTCCCTGGTTCTCTCTGGAAGTACGCCACTCCAGATCAGCTTGTAGCTGCTATACAAACCCACTGAGTTTTCCAAAATCAACATAGTTACAAAGGAGAATGCAGGTGTTGATTGTCTGTAAATACTTATAAATCTGGTTAGTCAAAAGGTATATAAAAGTATGCAGGAGGAGAGAAAAATTATCAACAGTCCTTTGCTATAAGGGCCACACCCAGGATTGTCCAATGAAGCTGAACGGTGGGAAATTTGGGGGGGGGGAGGGGATGAAAAGAAGCTCTACATTGGACAGTGCACAATTAAACTAAGGAATTTGCTATACAAAGTGCTACCAACCTAGATGGTTCGAAAAGCAAATTCATGGAAAATAAGCTAATTAATAGCATGATGGTTATGCATTGTCACCAGTGTAAGAGGGAATGTGTCTCTGAATACCAGCTGATGCAGCATATGAGCAGAAGGTCACTAATGTCCTTATGCTTATGGACGTCCCAAAATGCTGACATTGATAGGCCTTTGGTTTGCTCTATCAGGACTCTTTTGTGAAACGTTTCACTTCCTTCTAACATATACTTGGAGCTAGCCATTTTCCAGCATGCTGTGGCACCTCCAAGCAACAAGACACAACGGTATCCCACATAGTCAAAAGGTGCTTCTTTTAGACCACAACTTAGGATGGGAAAGGGAGTGGCAGACATTTTTGTGGGCTAATAACTTTTCTGCACTTGTTTGATGGTGCCCTAGACAAAAGAAGCCAAAGACATACATAGGATTTAGATAATGAGCTGGCTCATTATGTCATTAGCATCAAAACTGACTGCAGCAACATGGCAGGAGCCAACAGGAGAAAACAGGTCTTAAGCAGAAGTAGTGGCAGCACATACATCAACTTTCATTTAAAGCAATAAAAAATAAAACTATTCCACGCTGAATACTTATGTTTATCTGGAAGGCAGAAAGCTCCACCAGAGATTCATCTAAAGCCAACGTGCAAAGGTGCTTTTTAAAATGTTCCAATCTGAGCTAAAGAAGGCTTGCATGCATCCCACTTAATTTTTGTTCCAGAGCAAGCTAGTATCAAGCTCACACATGCAGCTGGTCAGAAAAGCAGAACTTCCATATGACTTAACAGAGCACAGACTGTATATTCAGAATGTCCATTTTAAAATAGGTCTGTGATCAGCAAGATGCTGGAGTTTCACAAAGTTTAAGCCCTCCCAATCCAGACCTCTAGTTCAATGCCCCCTTACAGGGTGTTACGCTTGTACATCATAGCAAGTCACATAAAAATAGTGACTCTCAGTCTCATGCATGTAGCCTATATGCCGTACAGCCCTTGAAACCTGCATAGAAAATGTAGGAATGACACAGGACATCCTTGTGTCAATTATACCACAGGATGGGTAGACACTCAATATCTTTATGTTTCAAATTCTCTTTCTGAATTCCATATAGTTGGAATATTCACTTGAGATTCCTATCTGAAATGGATATTTCATTCATTTCATTCATGGGATGTTTACAAAGGGCTCGTTATTTTTGCTATAAACTGAAAATATATATTTTTTGTTCTTGTTGATTTTATTGCACAGAATCCTTGGCTTTTTTGGTGACCACATCTCACCATGTTCCATCCACCTGGCAGGTAGCAGAAATCCAAGTAGAGACACTTATTGCATCCTGACTCTTCTTGATTGCCAAACACTTCTTCTTGCAACATTTGAAGATATTTTTACTGTCACTTAAACATTGTGTTCACATGTGTGTGTTTAAAGATTAAAATAATCAGTTTATAAAATTCAGCAGTAACTTGAACACATAAACAGACCAAGCTAATTCTGTAACTCTAACACAGATCAGCTGAATGGATCTTTTCATTTTGGAAGGTACAAACCAGCCTGCATTTAGAATAAAGACTTGAATATCTGCAGATTCCTAGACTATATAGTGTCAGAGCTTTGCATCTCCAACAGCTTCAACACTTTGAAATAAGTACTTCTTAGCAAAAAATAATACCCTGTTCTCGATGCACACATAGTTGAAAAAAAGGAAGAAAGAATGAGAGTGAACACCTGCAGCATAAGATTAACCCCCCCCAGACACACACATACACTTTCAGCTTTAATTCCAAGTGCACAGGACTGCAGTGGGGCTGTAAAAGCCTGTTTTTATTATTATTAGGGTTAGGGTTATTATTAATAATTATAGGGTTATTTGTTGTTGTTATAGTAGTTATTGTTATTATCATCATCATCATCATTATTTTGGTCCGTTTCACAAACTGGTTAGGAAAACCCCTGCTTGCTTTTCCTAATGAAGCTGCCTTGATTTTTCTGGGCATTTTCACACCCTTTCCTCAGTCTCAACATTTATTGGTCCAGCCTACCAGATAATCCAACTAAAATATCACAGCAGAGGTGAGGTGGCAGAGGTGGGAGAAAGAACTTGGAGATTTGAATTCAGCAGGAGCTCTTGTTAAAGAATGTGCTTCTAAGCATAAGCAGAGTGCTGAAAGAGTTCTACTGAGTCATTAAGTAGCAGAACATCCCACTGAAAGTAAAACAAAATAATCATAATATCTTGGTTGCAGTATATGGGCTTAGCCCAGCTATTAGTAAATGCGAACATAAATATAACATTCATTTTTTTTGAAGCAGAAGATAGATTTGCTAAGAAATGCATGAGGATAGAAAATTCTCACTTGCATCAACACCTGCATCTTAAAGAGAAGGAAACACAAGACAGAGAGAGACAGGAAGTTCCCTTTTAAAAGACAAGAACTCATTTCAGTAACAATAAGCCAAGTGAGAAATTGACACAGGGACAGGTGTGAAGACCTCTTGCCATTTACTCTAGTGATCAAAAAGGCTCCTAGATTCACAGAGATGATACACTGCCAGGGTGAGGGAAATAGTTGCAATTAAGAGGACAGAGGTGGGACACCATTTGAAAAATAATGTATCTTCAACTATCCCCTCCTAGACTGGCATCCAGAAATGATAGTAGCAGGGGAAGCACCACCCAAATAAGCATGGATCATTAAATCAAACTTTATTTTTACAGGAATCATAACTATTACTGATCTTTGTGTTTAGGCAGATTAGTAGCCTCCAGTGATGATAAGTTGAACTAAATAGGTACTGGCTCTTTTGTCCACATGATCATTTGGCCTGTGGATGATTGTTGCTCTATTTCAAAGATGGCCTAAAGGTCCTGAAATTCCCTAGGCCACCACAGCATGCTTGTCGAGACAAACACTTCATGTGCAAATATTTCTCAAAGAAGACCAATTCTTGATTTGCATTCTTGCACCCATAAGGCTACATACATTCGCTGCACTAGAGCAACATAAGAAGAAACTGCAAATCAACAAATGGCACAGAGAGAAACTACTGTGTTAGCCACAATCCCCAAAAGTAAACAACGTACCCCCCAATTCAACATTAAATAGAAAGATGAGGGACCTTACCTGTTATAAATGTCATCATCTTCACCACCCCAGCCCCAATAATTATTGGGAAACCCATTGATTTTTTGGAATTGCTTCTTACTTAAAGCAGACACACCTCCAAAATATTGATTGTAAGGTAAGCTGGAAGAGAGAAAGATAAATTATTCATTTAAAAATATGTTATCACAGAAAAGTTTGGATTATATCTCTACTCACAATTCTAGATTGGACTGATCGGAAAAAGTAACATGTAGCATAAGGACTCCTGTGAAGTTGTCTGTGCCAATACATACCATGTGACAAGGATAAGTCTGTGTTTTCTGAAATCTGAGTTCAGAATTCATTAAAGCTATTGTTCAAACTGGAAGGAGCAATAACTACTTTTATAAAAGACTGAAAGCCCTTTATGGACTTTTTGCTGAAAATGGATAAAAGTGAACTGGTGATCTCTGGATTTACTGATTAAAAAGAGCTGTATATGGGAAGAAGAGAACTATGTTAGGTAATTTGGGAGGGCGGAAATAGTATTAATTATGTTTGTAACTGCTGCAAAGACTGGAAGTTGCTCCTTTAAACATTTCTTTCTTTTCTTTTTTTTTGGATCTATACCATTGTTCACTTTTTCTTCTATCTTTCCTTCTTTCCTATCTTTATCTTTTTCGCTTTTCTATATTCTTTTTCCGTAGTTTTCACTTTGTAAAAAAAATCTTCAATAAAAATTGTGTGTGTGTGTGTGTGTGTGTGTAAAAACTATTGTTCAAGCTAAACTCAGTTGTTGGCAGCACCTGGGTGACGTTTTCTGAGCTGGGAGGGAAGGTAGGGACTGGTCAGGACTTAGATGGGAATACAGGGTTGAAAGCTAGACTGGACAGTTAAAAAAATATCCAAGAAGAACCAGCGCTATGAAGTCACCAAGCTTGAAGGAAACCTTATTTGTCAAGTAACATAAAGCTGTAAAATACCACCAATACATTTTGGAAGCCCTATTTTAGTTCTTTTCATTTTTTTTCCAAGTAAGAAGATAGATCTTCCTAAGATCTAGAAAGTTATCAACTTCAGTTTTTCTTAGTGAGTTACGCATCTTAAAATTTGATTTCTTACACAAGAACCTCCCTACTAATCTGTACCCATTACAGTTGGGTTTCAGGCTGGGATATAGCAATGAGATGGCACTGATCACACTTATGGATGACTTCTGGCGGGCCAAGGATGGGGGTGGTGAATCCATCCTGGCCCATCTTGATCTCTCAGCAGCTTTCAATACCATCGATCAGGGTATCCTTTTGGACCAGCTGAGGGGGCTGGGAGTGAGAGGCATTGCTCATCAGTAGTTCTCCTTCTTTTGAGACCAGTTCCAGTTGGCATTTGTAGTGGGGGAGAGGAAGATCTAGTCCTAGACCTCTGCTTTGTCATGTGCTGCATGACTCAACTCTCTCCCTACTCCTAGTTAACATCCACATGGAACCTGTAGGTAAAGTCATCTATTGACACAGGATCAAGTATCATCAATATGAACATCTCTGCCCTGGCCATCCACATGATGCTGTGGAGGTGCTTTCCCAGTGCCTGGAGGCTGTGGGGGTCTAGATGGGGATGAACCTGCTTAAGCTCAACCCTGACAAGACTGAGTGGGTTTTAGAGCCACCTGTATCTAGTGATTTGCCATCTTTAACTCTGGCTGGGATGACACTGCCCAGGTGGCAGCCACTGCTAGAGAACCTTTACACAAATACATCTTGTGTGGCAGCTGCACCCTTTCCTAAATGAGGAGGCACTGCTCACATTCTCTCATGCCTTAGTCACCTCCCAGCTGGACTAATGCAACATTCTCTATATGGGGCTGCCCTTGAAGAGCATTCAGAAGTTTCAGCTGGTCCAGGATGCACCAACATGGGCAGTAGTGGGCACACTGTGGTACACCCACATGATACCACTGCTGTGTCAGCTGCATCAGCTCCCAGTAGGCTTCTGAGTGCAATTCAAGGTACTGACTGCCTATCCTCATAGGTTTCTGCCCATCCCGATAGATCTAGCAGGGAGGGCATGCTCTGTCATGGCACCTGCCTTATGGAACAGCCTCCCCTTAGAGATGAGGATAGCCCCAACCCTGTCAGCCTTCCAGAAAGTGGTGAAGATATGGCTTTTCCCTCAGGTGTTGAGACCAGGATGTTGATGGAGCTGGGGCAGTTGATTTATGAGTAAGAGTTTTATCAGGCCCTTAACACTGTTCTTCATTTAAATAGTTTTTACAATTGTACTGCGTTTTTACTCCTGTTCATCACCCAGAATTCCTTCCAGTAGATGGGCAGCCATATAGATATGTTAAATAAATAAATAGTACAAGTCAATTTGCTTTACCCAACAAAGGGATCCCTAAAGAAGCTATATAATCTATAACCCTTTTCATAATGCCATGTCATGGCAAAGATTCACCCACATAATCATATTTATCTGTTTTCTTTTTGAGTTCCTGTAAAGGGTAAGGAAGATAACCTTGACGGAGATATGCAGGACCTGTTGTCTGAGCAAAAGGGGCTGAAGCACGTCTAGAACAAGAATATTTGGAAGCGGATGCTTCCCTAATTCACTGAAGTAAAAGGAGGAGGAGGAGGAGGAGGAGGAGGAACAACAACAACAACAACAACAACAACAACAACGAGGCTTGCAAGAATCTGCTATTATAGCCAGTCTCAATAAGTTTTAGCCTTTCTATGGAATTGATTTCCTGGTCTGGTCCACCTAGCTGAACTGACAGTTCCAGAGAAAAGAAAAGGTAAACAGATGAGTTCCCCACATTTCCCATAATGTTGGAAAGCAATGTTTTCTTATCATGTGTGAACTGGCCCTCAGACTCTTATTTATATGCTTATGCTCTTAACATTGAGAGTACCAACACATTTAGAAATCTTGGATCCTGGAAGCCTGATAATTTCAAGCAATCTAATAGAAATTTCTTGCTCCTTGCTTGTTCTGTATACAGGTTCATTCACCAACAAAAACTGTTTCAGAAATTGAGAGACAAAGCTTGCATATATTTTTAACACTGTGTCTTCCATTGGATTTTATATATTTATTGAACTTAGTTTGTGTATCATTTTTCTACATGACCAATACATAGGGGTTTTTAGCTAGGAAGGTCTTGGAGATATGGAACTAACAACTATTTTATGTTATTTATTCAAGTATTTTAAGCTTTTTTTAGGGTTATAACATCCCAAAGCAATGTATAAAGAAGTAAGAATAATTAGAAAGAGTCTCATTAGAACAGATGTCACATTTATTTTGTGAAGGTGCTCCACTGACACAAGTTCTGTCTTAAAAAGAATTGTTTTCAAGGCCCCCATAAAGAAAAATATGCTCTCCTTCCAAATGTTTAATGCAAGTATAGGTATGGTCATATTCTTGCCTTCCAGGTCCCCATGGCTACAGGTTATTCATTAATTATATTTATGTCTCATCAACTCCCAGTAATCCACTCATATTGTCATATGCTTTATGCTAAATGTAAACAACCAAATTCTTACCGAAATCCAAATTTATCCATAGATACAGAGAGGTGCCTGGGCTGGTCGTAACACTTATAGATATTCCTGTCATCCATTGGGATTAGGTCCACATCACTAAATACAAAGCAGTCATAATCATATTCTTTCAAAGCTTCTGTGAAGCCTACATTCAGAAGCTTTGCACGATTAAATGTTTCTTGTCCATCCTGATGTAAGAAAAGGAAGAATTGTTAAGAATCTTCAAATAAAAGCTAGTTAGCACTTCCTATTTATTACAACCCAGGGCCTTCACAAGAAGCAACATACACAACACCACACATGGGCAAGTTCACATAAGCCTACTATTTGCCAGTTTTCTGTCCAGTCTGGCTTAAATTTAAGACCAACCACAAAATTTTACATTAAACCAATGTGTTCATTTTGCCTTTCACTGAACTTCCCTTGAAACCTTGGGAAGAGAGAAAGCAGACACCCAGAGTATGGAATCTCACATCAGCCACATCTTCATCAGCCTTCCCAAATCTGGCATTCTCTCAGCGCACTAGGACTGTTGCTGGGCTGGCCCTACCAGTCTGTAATTCATCATGTTGGGGAATGCTGCTCATTTTCAGGTTCAGATTGTGTATAGTCTTGTGTAAAGACTTGTCTCTTCTTCCCATTCAGTTACCTGAATGTTGCCAAAACATATCCAGCAGTTCAGATGTTGTCCAATGAAGAACAATAGTATGCCTGCAAGCCTCATTTACGAAGGGGAGAGAGGAAAATCAGCTTCCAAATGAACCAATTATTTTGATCATATTTTAAAAATATGCTTACATTTACTATTTTAATAAAAAACCCTGGCTTCACATGAACAGCTAGATCAGATTTGTTATAGTGGGAAACAAAATAAAAGACCCTTTGTACAATCTTTAAGTTAATTGTGTTTGTTCCCATTTCATCACCCTTACTTTTTCCATTTTTCCTCTCCCTGTGTTTTGTTAACCAGTGAACAAACCCAACTATATGGGTTTAAAAAAAAAAAAAAAAAGGACTTGGGGTATTATTGTCCTGCTTGTTCCATAGAATCCTTCTCTGGCCACTCCTGGATGGTGTGATGAGAAGCATAGCAAAGCTAGAACTGGACTTGGCAATCTGCAGCAGAAGAAAGGAGTACTAAATTGGAGATAGTTATATTGAGAGTGGTGAAAAATTATGAACTCCATGTTTTTTATATTATCCAGATTAGTCTCTAACACAAATAAAAGAGTAAGAGATATCTGACATGATCCTTAGTTTTGTTCTTGTAGTTGTTTTCATTGATTGATTGACTGATTATGGGCCAACAAGTCAGTGTCAACTCTTAGCAGCAACATAGATTTTTCTCCATGAGTTGTTTTCATAGATTACTAAAAATAAAATATATGTTTTGGGAGTTTCTAAATTACAATCCAGCTCTACATTTACTGAAGTTGAAATATAATGAAATTCTTTATGACCTTGGCAAGAATTACCCTCCCAAACACAGCAGTAAAAGTGCCCTTGCCAATTTATACAAGTGAAGGACTGGATGAAACTACTATTCATTTCTTCCAATTAACTATTCAGAGAAACCCAGTCAACCGTATGACAGTGGTCCCAATTTACTATGGATCAATAAATAAGCAAAATAATGAGAGTAGGGTAGAATTAGGATGTTACCTTCACAAGGTGCCCTTAAATAAGTATTTCTAAGCAGCAGAATTATTAGAGCTGTGTTTTGTAAGTGAAGATAGTTCTCTTTCTGTAGATTCAACAAAGACAAACCATAATAATATCCAAGAGTGGGTAAAGTGTTGAACTGGAAAATCAGCTACGTAGGGGAAGGCTTATTTATTTCTAACACAAGTTACTTAGGCTGGGTACGATGGAGGTCTTTTAAGTGGACTGAGAAAGAGTTTTACAATCTCAGGTGACAATTTATAGCTATCTCAGCTACAATTCCCTATCCAAAATCACTGGAGCAAAACACATGCAGTTAGTTCTAGCCATTCTCTCTTCAGAATCAACTATTATAAAAAAGCTGGATTTGTGTGTTGATTAATCCATTTGCAGAATTATCAGTTTGCATTTTTTTTGTTTTTGATTCAAGCAGAGGGCTAGTCAATTCCATAGATATAACCGCATATTACATTTTAAAAAATACAACTCATACCAGCATTCAAGTTTAGTTAATATATTTTAACTTGAAAATGCCCTATTGAAAGAGAGAGTTCTCATTTGGTTTTTTTGTTTTTTCAGAAAAGGTTAGAACTGTTTCTATTCTCATTTTAGCCTCAGTAGAATGGCCCTGCAAAACAGTTTTCAGCACAAGAACTGCATGTTAGGAAGGTGTATATAGTCTTTACCTCTTTTAAAAAATACTCAGCTAAATTGTGGGAAAAGGCTAATTTTCTACCAGTTTACACTTCTAAAATGTTGCTGGATAAATGTTAGATTCAAAACTGAAAACAGGGAGACTGCTTAATCTTCCTCCCCTACATGGTGAGCTAATAGCTGCTAAAAACAAAAGAGTTAACTAAATGATGCAGCTTATGATGAACTTATTCAGTATATAGGGGACACGCTGCCCAAAGCAGTAGTAGCCTTGTATCCAGTCTTTTTCTAGAAATATTACAATATGAGAGCTTCCCCATCACTGAATGCAGCAGCCTGTGGAATAGATTGCATGGGAAAAATTCAGTGCAGTGATGCCCTTCTGTGCTGTATCACCTGCAAATGGTGGTGGAAAAGAAGATATGCTGGTTGCATTTCTTGGAAACTGTCACATTTTCCTTGCTTTTTCTAATTCCATGGTAAGTATGTAGAATGATAATTATCTTGTTTGATATTAGCACTACAACAACAACTAGTGGCAAACTTTTGCAGACCTAATTCTACTAAAGTCCAACAGAAATGTAATTGCCTCCTTGGGATGAGGGAAGTATTTTCTTTGGCACAAAGTACTGCAATGTGTATACAAGGCAACTGTCAGGTCCTGGCACCAGAGGCATCAGCTGTCCCAGCAGAGGTGTCAGTGGAGCTGGTCACGGCCAGAAGAAGGGTCTTTCTGCTCTGGAGGAGACAACCTCCTGTCCATCTGGCTTTCTCACAGCTTAGCCAAGCAACTAAGACGATGTGCTGGGAAGGCCTCAGCTCAAATCTTGTCAACCACAAAATCATTCTAAAGAAGCCACCATTTCAGTCTTAGCCTACCATCATCATCCAAGCTAATATACATGAACCACTCCATACATCTCAAATATCCCATTATAAATGCTTCTCATTACTCCTGGCTACGTCTCAATATTTCCTTTTTAGGAAAATGTAAACACGACTAGCCAAGTTTGCCAAAAGAATTTCCTGGCGTGTTTACTTGAATGGCCGATCTCCTCTTTAAATGAATCATGTTAACTTCAACTTCCTCTCAAGGGAATAAACAAAGGCAAAAAAAAAAAAAAAATTGCAGGAAAGAATCTCAAAGCAAACTACCTTTCGACAAAGATTCTGATATAAAAGTCTCTCATGTATCCTCTTCCTCCTCACACTCAAATTTATGATGAACTCATCCATTCAAATATAGCGAGCATTCACTTTTTTCTGCCTTCCATGCTTTGATTATGGAGACTTAAACTCTGGAATTCTGTCTCATCTATTCAAGCCCAACCAACATGACCGTGATGTTAAATTCCTTTCAAGAAAAGGGCTTGAGCAGCTTGAAGAGTGAAGACATTTGTAGAATTAGAAGTACACGGAAGTACAGACAGAAAAGGCCTTACTTCAGCTTACTTTCTTAGTATCCTTCCCTTTCATTTAGTTCCCAGACAGCTGCTCTGGGGACGTTTTGTTCCTCCCATTTTCAAGAGAGTTCCAAAGCAGCTGCCTGCAGCAGGACCCACAGCTGATTTACACAGAAGCAACTCACTCTGCATTTAATGGGGATAACTTTCTGTATCTTCCAGACTGACAACAGTGTCATCCATCCTGGAGTATGTGAAACCAGCAATCCATCTAGGCTGACGTGTAATTTCATTTCCCTTCAGGAAATGTAGGCATTTGTAAGATGAATTATTGGCTGAATGACTCATACAAAAGGCCCAATTAACAACAATATATATCAAACCAGTGTGAGCAAAACAATAATGCACTTCATTTTGCAATTTTTTTTCTGAACAATCAGGAGAGGAAATTAGGACATATTATACCCCCAATAAAGTATGACTGGGAAATGGATATGGAATAGCAACACCCTCAAGATTAAATTCTTGCCAAACTCAAAAAAAAAAAAAAATGCAATGGTATTTGACACCCCACCCCCAATCTGTAACTTGGCACATAAAATCTTATTTTGCAAAGCACTGGAGTTTGGAGAATAACACTTGAGCAATTTAATCAAATGATAGGTTATTTAATACTTAAATTAGGTAAATGGCGTAGATTTATAGGATTTTTACAGGTTGCAGAATTCAGCGCAACTTGGGTCATAGTTTTAACTTTTAAAAAAAAGCATGAATACATACAAGCTGACCTTAAAATGTCAAGACATTGCTTAAAGTTTACCAGTGTGTGCTTATACCTACAGCAAATGCCTCCCACCCCCTCTACTTTCAGCCACAATAAGCATAGGAAGCAAATCAGGAAACCAAAGCTAGCTAGTGCAAAAATGATTGGAAATAGAGATACGGGAATGGTGATGGATGACTTTTAAGGCTCCTGTTCTGGCTTTCTTCTTGGAAGAGAAAAAACATTCCAAGATATGAGCCAAAATTTACATGTACATCGGGCTTGTCCATTTGATGCAGAGGCAAAGAGCCAACGTGTATCCCTTTTGCAAAACACATGTCCACTTTGTGTTGCAGGATCAAATGCATTTGCATTATGGCCCAGTTGATGCAAGAGAACATTTACCTATGGAAGGAGTTCAGTTTCAGCACAGGATATCCTTTTGCAGCATGTTGCAAAGGATATAGATGTACCAGCTCTTTAAGACAGATTGAAAACCATGGGGCTAGTACAAACACCTTATTTTTAAGGAATTACTCCCTTATTTAATTCATCTGCCACAGAACTTATTAGCCCTGCATAACTGTGGAACCTCTCTGCATTGCAACAGTTTCAGGTATACAACAGCAGTGCACTAATAAGTCTTCCTGCAAGTTCCCCAAAACGCATCTGACTTTTCCCTGGGGCTATATTTGTAGGAGATCAC